GTAGAAAGTAATGAGACATTACTTAAGGCAAGGGAAGCAATTTGGGGTCGCGTTCTCACTTCTAGATTCCAGACAAGATACTCATTTAGGTTGTATAAGGGAAGAAAACCAGTAATGGGGTCAGCACCGCAGCTCCTTTCTGGAGTTCTTGGCCTCTGGTCAAGACAGAACCAAGGACATTTCTGGCTTCTGGCCAAGGATAGGTATGAGAAGGGCTTGCTTTTGGAACCTAAAACTGCCTGACCACTTTCTCTCTTGTTCTTACTTTGGTTCTTAGAACTAACTTGCGTATATTTTTTTAAACCTTTTAGGAAGAAAGTCTCATCTCTTTTTGGAATGGCAAATAAGCCTCTTGCCAAGGTTACTGCCTAAGGATTGTGGTACTTTCTTGTCAAGGGAATAGCTCTAGTAGGTTTTATTACTATTTCACTTCTCCACCAAATAGCAGATCCTTCCCATGTGCTCCTCAAGTCTGGAATATTCCTTGGAAACTTGCTGCTTTGCTGACCCTTTCCTTGCTGTAGAACTGGTGGTTGTTGGCTTTCTTCCTTTGTACCCTTCAGTTTATCTAGAGTATGCTAAGACTTTCTGCCACAATTGCCCTTCACTTTGTGTGTGTACTGTAGTTTAATTTTTCCCTGGATTGGATTTGATTTTCTTGTATTTACCTTTTTTTGTACTTTTAATTAGTTTCATTATATCTGATAACAACATTTATGGTTCATGTATGATTGTTCATTGCCAAATTGCTTCCCTTGCCTTAAGTAATGTCTCATTACTTTCTACTTGCTTCTCCACATCATCTAGAGTCAGTCTCCTTCGTCTAGTAGTCAGTCTCGGGGCGCAAGTACAGTGCTACAGAGCCACATCACGACTCAAGCTTGGGGTTCGCTCATCTTTTCATATCAGTATTTTGATGACTGCATGCCTTTGGAAACTAAAGGAATCATTCCTTTAACTGGAATGATTGAAAATATAAGACAGACCTCTGGGGGCACTTTTAATATTGCTTAATCATTACTATCCCCCCCCCCCAAAGAAAGCAAAAGGGAGGGGAAAACATCTGTAGGTTTTGATGCATTAACAGCAGGTGTCTTTTGAGGCCTTCTAGGCAAACTAAGAGATTGTGCATTATGTTCCCATCAAGGGAATTTTATTATTTGTACTTTTCTTGGTTAAATCCACTGGAAAGGGTTATTCTTTGTAGGTAGCAAACAGATGCTCAAGCAAATGGATTTCATTGTAAAAGTAATCCTGTGTATCACTCTGTTTTTGAAGCTACTCATTTTTCAACAAGAATAGTTTCCTTTGTTTTTATGACTCTCAGCAAATTTAAACTTTTGATGTACTCTTGGGTCATGTGTGAGCTTTTGGTTTCCTGACCCAATCACAGATGAAAAATTTTTCTTTTTTCCTTTTTCCAAGTAGGAGAATCCCCTTGTAGTTTCTTCCCGGATTGAAGTGCTGTGAGCTGTGACTCAGGTGTGGGAAGGAGACCTCACAGGCCCCGCTGTGCCTCCATGTGCTTGCCTCTGTGTTCCTCGAGGAGGCTCTGGTTGCTGTACTTCAACATATCCAAGTGTTCGCTCTTTGCCGATGTCCATGTAAAAACACAGCTTTCACCTCAGAAGGAATAAGAGATTGCATATTCTGGAACCAAGTAGGAGTGCCGTGGCCTGGGAGTAAGAATTCAGATCACCCCAAACACCATGTTTCAATGTGGTAACAGTTTTATGATGTTTTTATAGTAACAGAACAACAAAAAAACGTAGCAAATCAAGACATTTTTCAAACACTTTGGTGGAATATCAGGTAGGCTGTAGCACAGTGGTGAAGTCTCTGTTGTACGCCTCTCGGGTTACATGATGACATTCTTAGCCTTTAGGTTGCTGGAAGCTTAGGGGTCTGTTTGTGCATTCTGAAAGTTACAAGGATGTTAAATCACACACAGAGCAGGCAATAAGTGACTCTTTAGAGGCTTAGTGACTTTCTGAAGTTTATTACTGTCTGTAGAAATGCATGGTCATGAACACAATGGCAGAGGACCTTTCTCCTTTGAGTGAGATATGGTGATGCCTTCCTCTGCTCCAGCAGCATCTCCCATGACTCTCTCTGTGAGTGCTTAGTGCACATCTCAGGATAGCTGCATGTAATTTGATACTGTCAGTGTGTTTGTTAGGGATGTAATGTGAGGCTTTCCACATATACTTTTATTTGGTGGTGCTTTGGGAAATCTAAAATTTTCATATGTAATCAGTAGTCAAGAACTAATATATTAGGAAATACTTTCATTCTAAAATTTGGGCATTGTGATGATAATCTACATGGCCAGCATGATTGGGTTTAGACTCACCCAGTAGATTGGTGCAGTACCACTGGTGTGTCTGTGTGTGCATTTTGGAGGATTACCCGAGGGTAAGATTTACCCTTTGTGTAGCACCACCTCATGGATGGGAGGTAGCACAGGGAGAATAAAGGGGAAAGAAAGTCAGCTGGCATCCTTCCCCCCGCTTCTGTGCTGCAGCGGGGACTTCTTTGCTTCACCAAGCTCTTCCTGACATTTCTGAAAATGAGCAAAATAAATCTTTCGTTCCTCAAGTTTTTTTTTTGTCAGGTGTCGCGCACGCAGGGATGTCAAAGTAACTAATAGCAGGTGTTAAGTCAAAAGTTGTTCTGGAAACACTAACCAGAAGATGTTTTATAAATTTTCTTTGTAGGCAGTTGACATCTGTGAATGAGTATATTCTCTCAAATGGGTTCAATATCCAAGAAAGTGGTGACATTTTTAGTCTTTTCTCTGATGAGGGCATCTTGTTAAATGAACCCATGATGCTGATTTGGGGAATGTTCTTTGAAGATTACTGAAGTTTGAAGTCAATAAAACTCTCTGATTCTTCCTCCTTCTCTTCTTTGGTGGAGCAGGACTCTGAAAATACGTGTGCAAACTCACATCATTGCTGTCTGAAAGTGCATTCAGAATCGCCTCTTGTGATCATTGCTTCATCTGTGTGGAAGGAGTGTGTGTGTGTGTGTGTGTGTGTGTGTGTGTGTGTGTGTGTGTGTTAGGCTGCTTAACATTTTATTCATTCAGCCAATATCTTGAGACTCACATGCCTGTGACAGCATATCTGATGCTTGCAGCAAGAACACATGGTCCAAACCTTCACAGAGGTAACAGAGCACTGGGGCAAGCAGATCAGAGTGCAGTATGATCAGGACATCAGAGAGGAAACACTGAATCACAGGAAGAGGGTTTAGAGCATAGTGAATGATGCTGCAAAGATATATTTAAGTAGGAATAGCTAAAATTACTTCTCAAAATCAACACTGCAGTATTTGCATATCTTAGTGCACATTTGATTATATACTAAGTGTATATTTCTGGGAATGGAATTAGGAAAGAAAGCATGTGAGCCTCTTGAGCTTCTAGTGTGTATTACCACTGACTCCCCAGACAACGGTGACTCAAGTTGACTATCCAGTTAGTGTCTCTCCTCTCCTCTTGTGCCCTTACTGGAATAGATGCTTTGTAAATCTTTTTTTTTGAGACAGGGCCTCATAGCCCAAGCTGGTCCTGATCTTGAACCCTTTTAGTTTTTTAGATGTGTAATATAGTAACCTTTTTAATTTTTTAGATGTGTACATATGGTATATGTGTACATGTTCATATGTGTGTACAGATGTAGACAGAAGTTAATATTGGATATCCTCTGTTGTCCTGTTGGAGACAGGCTTTCTCATTAACTTGGATCTCACCGATTGGCTAGACAAGTTGGCCACCAAGCCCCAGGGACCCCCAGGGACCTTCCTCCACCTGAGCATCGGGGCTAGTGCAGCCACACTTGGGTTTTTATGTGGGTGCTGGGGATCAGAATGTGAATCCTTATGCTTATACAGCAAGCAGTTTATAGAATGAGCTGTTTTTGTATCCCCCTGATCTAGAACTTAATTTCTGATCCTCCTGAGTGCTGGGAAAACAGCTATGCACCACTACCCCCAGTTTATGCAGAGCTAGGGGTTAACTCAGGGCTTCCTACATGCTAAGGAAGTGCTCTATCAACTGCGCTACGTCCCCAGCTCATCTTTGCAAAATTTGATGGAAGTATTCATGGAAGTTGCTTCTGGTTCCCAGCTCTTATCTCATAAGACTGTTTTACTGGAGGTAGTATGATAATCCAAGCTAGGAAAGTCATTCAGGGTTTGAAAATGAACAGAAGTGATTACTAAGTGTCCTTTCAGTGCAGCGCTGGGATTGTCTAGTGGCCACTGAAATGATTCTATTCGGGGTACACTCCTTTTTCTTTCCCTAGATAAACTTTTAGAAGGCTGTGGTAGTGAAAGTTAATAGTTACACAAGTGTTCCTATTCTTAATACTGCAAACACATTTTGTGCAGAGGGCATGTAATTGATTTCTACCCTGAAGAACAGATGTTCTATGATAATATAGCTAATTAAACAACCAGTTTATAGTATTCTATCTCAGTAACTTTTTCATGGGCCCACTAGGGTCAAAAACCCCCTAAGAGTTCTTTTCATTAGGTCTACAGCATAGCGTATTCATTTTTACAGTGTTCCTGTTAATCCCTGGAGGTCTGAGTGTCTTGGTGCTTAGCTGGGGAGCTGTCCTTATAGTATGCTACTTTATTCACCTCTTGTGCATAAGTCAGGAACTGGATTTCAGAGTACTCTTTGCCTACCACCATACATTTGTGTGTGCTAACACCCTCATTCTTTGACGAATAGAATCAATGGCATGTGTTCACTGTGTATTTGTAGGAAAGCCAGGATTTACTCTTTGAAAATTATGCTTCACTGTCAGTTAAATTCTACCAATTTCACTGTGAGTTTGAAAGATGGATTAACTGATCTATTACAAGCTGTGTGAGTATTATACATAAAAATGTACCTCAAAGTGGAGCACAGAGACTTCATAGCAACACGGGAAGTTGGCGTGGACACAGATGTTTCTGCCCCTTTTAATGTGGTGGTTCTTAAATAGTGTCCCTGGGGCAGCACATACCCACAGAGAAGCAGCAGAAGGCACCTTCTCCAGGAAGACAGGATTGCATTGCAAAGCATCCCAGAAGAATTCTCTACTGATTTGCTGGAACATTCTGGTGACTGACTGTAACACTGAGAACTTGCAGGTGTGTTTCTCAGAAGCCAATTCAGTCTGTTCTTTAGCTCTGAGATGCTGAGCCAGAAATGGGTACAGGGGACAAGGGGAAACAACCTCTGGGGCTCCCTGGGTATGTATGTGTTTCCCTTTTTCTAAGACAGGGAAATGAATAGATAATAATGTTACGTTAAGGCAAGAGTTGCATAGTTTTTGTTCACTAAGTTTTTGTTTGTTTTGAGATAGGATTTCACTATGTAGCCCTGGTTGGCCTGGAACTTGCTGTGTAGACCAGGCTGAACTTTAACTCACAGAGATCCTCCTGACTACCTCCCAAGTCCTGGAAGCCTGGGAGTAAAGGTATACAATACCATCCCTGGCTTAACAATTATATAACTGTATTCATTTTAATTCCTGGAACTGTATCCCATGAGCTAAGTATTACTTTTTAACTCTAAAAGTAAATTTTTTTTCCAGACCACTGTCAACAGTGATCTCTGATTTTTTTCCCTTTATTCCTAAAATTTTAAAACAGCTTTCTGACTGAAATTTGGAAATAAGCATGCATTGGGGGTAGGTGAGGAGTAACAGAAGCTGATGTAAGTAGAGCTCAGAAGGGACACTGATGTGGAAACCCCAGGAATCCACAAGGACTCGGGAGAATGAAAGGATAATGGGAACTTGAGGTCAGCACCCAAGGCTCTGAAGTACTTTTCAGCACTGGAGAAGTTGGGTTTGCAAAGTCCGCTTAGGAACTTTATGCAGTTTTTTTTTTTTTTTTTTAAACTGCAAACATTTACTTCTTTAATTTCTGCTGTCTTGATCCACAATTACTGTTACCCTAGGAACAATTGGTTCCTCAAAGTTCTCTCTTGCCTGTTATCAACTCACTTGAATTAAGTGTTCCGGGTTTCAGTGGATGTGCTAATGTGTGCCTGCAGTAATTCCTGTTGGTTAGAAAAACACAGGTGAAGGGAATCTGCATGCTGACTGGCTCATGCTAATGACATTCATAGAAATGACAGCCCTCTCAAGTGTACTCTGGACTGTGTTAGATAGCCATGAAAGGAGTATGCATATGGCATACTCCTTTCAAGCGTGGGTACTTGAAACGTATCATAAATTTGACCTTTCTATTACTGTTAGGAGATGAGTTATTGTTTCCACTTGCCAGGTAAGACAATCAGTACTTAAGATACAATCTGACATTACACTTTTGCCCTTCCACTGTGTTTTGAAGTGTAAATGGCTTATGCTTAGTCAATCTTCTTGTTGTGAAATTGAATCATTTTTATGGCATCTCGGAGTTCCTGCCCCATGCAGCTATTAGCAGATGCAGAAACACTGCTCTGTAGAGACAAGAGCACTTCAGAGATGTCTGAGTTCTGTAAGGAATTTTATGTTCCTTGTACCCCATGGTTTGAGTCATATTTAAACTGTACAAACTGTGATACTGATTTTAATGTATTTATGTTTGAATGACCAAGACGATCACCAGTATTTACTAAGCACTTGTGGTATTCAAACTGCTGTCTTTTTTATGTGTGTTTGTTTCTCATAATCATTCTTAGGAGGAATGCACTGTTACCCCCACATCAAAGATGAGAATCCTGATGTACAGAGACATAGCCTGTCTTACCCATGGTCACACATCTAGTAAGTGACAGTGTTAAGGTTTAGATATATGCAGTCTGGTGGCAGAGCCTGATGGGTTACCACAATACAGTGCTGAGTGTATGTGTGTGGGGGGGGACGGGCTGTGGCTGGATGCAGTTATATTTTTCTTATTGAATACCTACCTTCCTACTAATCTTTGTATCTCTTCTCTCTGAGAACACATTAAGCACATTCTTTTCCAGGTCAGTCACTCCAACATCATCTTTAGTTGGGAAATGGTACACTGTTTGGGAGTTTGTTTAGATGGAGGTGATAGAGAAGCTCATTTCACAGTAGGCTAAACAATCAGCTTATTTTTTGTAAATGGTAAGATGTCTGGAGGTGGTGATAGATGGTTGGTGATTGGCACCATGGGGTGTGATTCAGGCCTGTTTCTGTGCCCATCAGCCCTTTTGTGGTGGCTGCTGCCTCCATGCCTCTGCCTCCCAGAAGCAAGGTGGTTATTATAACTCTTGGCATCAAGGACACATTCCAAGAGGAAAGAATACGTTCCAAGAGGAAAGAAAAGAGTAGAGGGATTTAAGAAATGGTCATGCCAGCCTGGCTCATCCCTTTATGTCAGAAAAGAAAAGCTCTTCTAATTAGATCCACATAGTTGAATTTTGTTTCATGTTACAGTGGCAAGAATGGGGGTCACAGGGCCAGCTCTAGAGGCCTCTCATAACAACGGACTGTTATCATTACTGGTTTAGAGCTGTGGTAGTTCATCCCCTGCTCTGGGATAGGGTGTAGTTTTACTCAGAGAAAATGAACTCGTACTCACAGGAACTTGGCTAGTCTGGGTGTTGTGAGGGTGGCCACAGGTGGATTCCCAGAACTCCAGCCTAGTGCCTGAGGCTTGCTGGTGAAGGATTCCAGGAATATTTTGCGATCTTTAACCACCTGAAGTAGCTCAATTCCTGCTTTCTGTTGAAGGCCTTTTTGTGGTAATCCTTGGGTCTAGTTTCTCTGGATCTGGAAGTCTGTCTAACCACTCCAAGTCCTCTTCATTATTTTCCTGCTCCTAGAACTTAGCTAGTGACTGAGGCCTCAATATTTACTAATAGGATTCATGGATGCTGCCCTTTGTCCCAAGTTACCTTATTTAATTTATTCTCCTACCTGGGGTGCTCAACCTGTATTGAACTTTCCTAATGCAGTGTTTTTTGTGTAATGTGTCCTTATGGTCAGTAATTAGACTGAATGGGTCTGATCATGTGCTAAAGTACTCAGACCTCACAGTGGCATGCCGCCAAAACTTGGATAGTGATAGGCACATAGATAACTTGACGAGTGAGTGCTCAGGTACACAAGAAACAGCACGACTGAGGAGTATGTATTTCTTCCATAGGAGCAAAGATAACTGCATTATTTCATCAGCTGGTATTACTGATACTAGTAAATATACTTACTAAGGCTATAGTGGTGTGTGTGTCTGTGTGTAGCACCTAGTGTGTATTTATAGTGGTTTAGGACATGTTTTGAGGCAGGATATTCCCTAGGCTGGCCTTGCAGCCTTGGCCTCAGGCTGTCCTCTGCCTCAGCCTCACAGTTAACTGGAATTACAGGCAGAAACTGATGCACCTTGCTTTCATACTTTTGGTTCTGTTGTTATAGGATATTTTGTTCACTTTTGTATTTCTAACTTTTCCCTTTATGTATTAACAAAAATGACTGCCAAATTTGAATGATCAGGGGAGTTTAGAAAAATTAGATAGCTACAAGGCAGTGTTTATTGAATAGTGCCATAACTGAGCTGGGTACTTGTCTATGCTGAGGGTAGTGATGTGAACTCTTATCCCTGTCCATGTTCCCTGTGGTAAGTGTTACAGACCAAATATCTGGAGACTAAGGAGAGTGACGACTATTTAAGTTACCCATTTTCCTGGGGCCACATAGCACATTCTCATGGGTTTCCTATTCTGGCTTTAGTTTTCTCTTGTTAACTTCTGGATCACACTTTTCCTTTGTGTTAGATCATTTATGTTTGTAGAGGCCAGTATTTTTTGCTATTTATTCTAATTCCAGCATTTCAAGTGGTTTTTAGTAAGAGAATACCATATAAGTTTAGTCTTCCCAGGTTACTAAGTTTCTTGCCCTTTGAAGCAGAGTACCTTACATACATATAAGCCTTTTATAAATCACTCACTGTTTTATGTGTCCATCACCCATTGGCTTGGTGACGTAAACAATGTGTGATTGTGCAAACTGGGCTGAATGGGGAGTTTCCTTTTCTGTGCCAGTTGCTACCTGTTGCAGTTAGAATGTCCAAGATGCTATCTTCTGGCCTGTGCAAGGTGCCTTGTGTGTGGACCCAGTTGAGCATCCATCCTTCCTACACAGTCTCTCCAGGATGGCATCTGAACCTCTTTTCTATGAGTTTTAAGAACGTACATATCAGCAGAGTAACCCCCTTTAGGAAAGCACATCTTGGCTTCCTGGTCACTTCATGCTAGCTAATGTTGCCTTAGCCAAAGCAAACCCATGACCAAGCCTTGAACTAGATGTGTACAGGGTTTGCATGTTAGGGGATGGCTAATTGGAGAACAACAACGTAATAGAGTGGTTTGCGGCCTTGCTACACACTGTGTAGACATTCATGAAATCAGTCAATCAGTCTTGTGGAGTGTGTACATTTTATCCTACCTTTGATTGGTTCACAATGTATTTAGCTACTATTAAATATCTTCCTTTTAAAAATCACAAATATGTTTCACAAACAGTAGGGTTACCTTATACCTAACACCTAGCTTCCTCTGATTTTAACATGACATAAGCATGGACTAAAATATACTATTTGAGGCCAGGTGTGGTGGCACACACCTTTAATCCCGGCACTCAGGAGGCATAGGCGGGCAGATCTCTGTGAGTTCAAGGCCAGCCTGGACTACATAGAGAGTTTCAGACCAGTAAGTGCTACATAGTGAGACTCTATCTTAAAACCAAACCAGACCAGCCACACCATACCACACTACACTACACCAAACCAAACTGACCTAAACAAACCCTACCTAACCATGCCCAACCCAACCCCCCAAAACTCCACAAAAACAAAACAGAAAGAACTATCATTGGGACAGTATGGCTAACCTAAAAACAGTTCAGTTTCCACTAGTTTGTCTGCTGTAATGTCCATGTTCTGTTCTGGAATCTAATGCAGGAGCTCAGATTGCATTTCCTGGTTTATATCTTCGCCTTTCCAAGTCTTTGACCTGAATACTTTTGAAGGGTGTGTTCAGTTACCTTTGTAGACGTCCCTCCACTTTGTGCTGTCTTTTTCTATAATTAGGTAATATGCTGGTTGGTGGGAATACCACAGACATGACATCCCCTTTGCAGAGCGTCCTCTGAATGCTGTTGATGGGCTGGCACAGTTGAAATTCATATCTGGTGCAGTGGGCACATCTCCCAGGTTTTTCCACTATAAAGTTTTTTCTTCTGTATTTAATAAATATCTTCAAGTTGATACTTTGAAATTACGAACATGTGCTGCTCTCCTCAAATCTTGGCTCCACAGTTTTTGTTGGAGACTAGGTTTGCACATGCAGCGAACAGCAATTCTATTCCCTTCTTCCGTTTTACACTGCCTAACTGGGGTTTTCCTTGTAAGGAAGAGCCATTCCCTCTCCATTTATTTCTTTTTAATGGAGCGGTTTGTGGCAATATGAGAATGGACATTTAATTTATTATGATTATGTGTGCGGGGTGTGTGCCTGTATGGAGGTGTGGGGCAGGTGTGGAGGTCAGAGATCAGCTTTCTGGAGCCTGTTCTGTTCTTGCACTGTGGACTCTAGAGAACAAACTGAGGTCGTCAGGTCTGCATAGCTAGTGCTTTTACCCACTGAGCTATATCACTGGCCCTGTGTGTGTGTGTGTGTGTGTGTGTGTGTGTGTGTGTGTGTGTGTGTGTGTGTGTGTGTGTGTGTGTATACCCCCAGCTGTGGGC